ACCTTTGAGCGCTCCGGTTCGGAGATGCAATGGAGTATCGCCGAGATCCGAACACTTTCCAAGGGGTGGTCACCGATCTTGTCGAGAAGCTTCGTACGCCATCGGACATACACACCAGCTGGTTCGTTACCGCTATACATCAGAGAGTCTGGAGGCGTGGCACCAACCAAAAGGTGAACGTCGCGAACCTTCCTCGACCATCTCACAGGGTTCTCAGTGTCGGAGTCACTGGGAGTGGCAGACACGACTGGAGACACCCGTAACGGACTTGTCGACGTCGGAGGAGGAAGCGCACCACCAGAGATGATCGAGATTTTCGGCGCCGGAGTACTGGATGTTTCCTTCTTCGCCGAAGATATCTCATTTTTGATAACTGACCGCCGAGGTACATCGTCAAGGTTGATGATGATGTCATGCCTCGTCTTAACGTCGATGGCTAGGCGGTCCATGTACGCTCTTGCCATCCATGACGCTGTAGGACGATACCACGGTGGGCAAACCCCAATGTAAGCTTCTTCGCCTACGTCAGCCAACTCTTCACGTACCACTTCCCAAAGTGACCTTCCGCACTCTAAGCTAGACAACTCGTGGCGGTTTGCGTCCGAGATATCATCGTCGATCACCAATAGAGGTATCTTCTCAGAGATAGTCTTCGGGGTAGCATGGTCGTTGGGTTGTTGGATAACGTCGATGAGCAAAGTCTCGAGTTCGCCTTGGACTTGGTGTAAGCCTTCTCGGATCGAAGCCCCCAATGTTGTAACATACGATGGTTCGACTTCACCAGACCCGTTGGAACCCGACGCTGACATAGCTAGAGAGAATATAATGGGGTTTATAATGCAATACATATTCGACTGAGGGAGAGACGGTTTCACAGCCGTTACAGCCTAATCTGGCGGGGCGGGCGCTACCGTATGTGACTCACAGTGAAGGTGCATTGTTATCACAAGGCAATAAATCGATCATCATGGCGCGCGCTTTTCTCCTAAGTGTTGTCGCGTCAAGCCCCATCGTTAGTGACCCGACTCTGCTGTCTCTCGGACGACTATGACTATCGATGTTGAGAAGAAGCTCACCATGTCGCTGGATGACATTGTGGCTGCTGCAAAGTAGCTGGGGGCGCTCTAGATTGTGTCAGGTTGTTGCAAATTGGGAAAAGTGGTTACACGATGTCGTTACTGAGACTTGAATCCTGTCGGTGCAATCATTAAGGCGGCGCTGTAGTGCTCATAGGAGTGCCTCTCTGAGGGGTATGCCTCTGTTGCCCGACGGCGCTCTTCCATCTCATCGGCTGGCTTTTCCTGTGAAATCTGAATCGTCGAAGTTCTAGTGGTGATGGGAATGGAATTAACCTCTGTATCGGAAGTTGTGATCCTCTATGTGCATGCGTGCTGCTTCCATCTCAGGCCTAAGCGTTCAGCTCGAACTCCTACTATTACTACTGGTGCTGGTAAGAAGACTTACGCTGGTCCTATCCGGAAAGGTCGTGGTGCTACTATGAAGGCCGCCGCTCAGCCCTACAACAAGGCCTCGGGAAACTATATTCGTGTCCAATGGCAGCAACAGCAACAGTCGTCGTATGGAAGTGGTGGGAAGAAGAATTGGAAGCAGCAGAGTGGTGGGGGTGGGTCGGGGTATCGAGACAACCAAGGCAAGGGTAGCTACCATGGAACCACCTCGACTAACAACAAGAGTTGGGGTGGTCGCTGGAACAAAGGAGGCAACGATCAGTCAAGTTGGAACCAACATGACTATCGTGGTAACGACTATGATGACAAGAAAGAAAACAACAACAGGTCTTACTACGCTCGGAATGTTGATTTTGGTGATGCCCAACAAACCAACAATAATGCTACCGCTATTACTACTACGCAGCAGTCAAGAGGTGGCAGAAGAAGAGTCGTGGTGAGCAACATCCCCCACGATCTCACTTGGCGCGAGATCAAGCAAGCCTTCTCCAGTGTTGGAACTGTTGTTCACTGCGAAGTTGACTCGTCTGGACCGAAAGGCGCTATCGCCAACCTTACTTTCTCTGGTACAAAGGTGGCGGATGGAGGGCTTGTCGTTTTCCCTTCACGGCTATTCACTGCGACTTCTTGTGGACTTGCTGCTTATCATCGGATAGGAGGAAATTGTGGATGAGGCGATCGGCCTAATATGGTTATGTATTAGGCAAGCGCCCCTTGAGAGGAGCGCCGACAACAGTTGGTCGGCACTGTGATGGCTACATGGAATTCGTCAAGATTGAAGTGGTTGTTGAAATAATGAGAAGTGTCATTAATTATATTCATAATACCGTACGACGTATGGTCCTACATGATGGCTTTTGCCAAGCAAAATTAGTTTAATGCCTTCGTCTTCCTGGTGGAGCGATGGAAGATGCACTGTTGGGCATGGTGAAGGACATGCAAAGCGTTCAATATTTATTATCGTTTGTGGGGATTGAACCCACGATTTCAACTTCCTATTAACTCGTACACGAACTGCGAAATATGATGACATTCCTTTTGGTGCTTTTTGCAGACCCAAGTGGTGCCAGGCAGGCAGTTGAGCTCTACGACGGTGGCGATATGAACGGCCGAAGAATTCACGTCAATTACGCCTGAATGCGCAGTGGAAGTATGCAAATTAGCGATCGTCGTCTTCTTCCTCGAGAGTCTTCCTCGGGTCAGGTTTCGAGCCATGGCGGCGAGCGAAGGTATTATTGAAGGTTCTTGAGTGTATTTTATTGCTGACGACGTTATTGGATTATTGTCACTACTACTAGTTTAACCGCTATTTTTCGGTCTCGTCTGCATTATATAACTACTATTAGCATAATTGCCCGATAAGCCTTTTGTTGTCACAGATATTGGGTCCGGATGGAGAGCTGTTGATTGCACGCTCAGTTCAGGCTTCTAGCGGTCAGACTGGTGTAGTCTTCCACTGCTTTTCTGGTTCAGTTAGCATCTTTATCGACCTCCAGTAAGACTGGCAGGGAGTACCACAATACTCTAGCTTATACAGGATATTACACGTCACCAGTACACTATAGAGGAGTCTTCTATAGTGTCCTCTAAGAGGACCTGGGTATAAAGTAAATATGCAACTGCAGTTGGTGATATGGGAATGTAGTGGGGCGGGTATGCCATATGTTGGGGCTGGTATGCCATATGCTGGGACGGATATGCCATATGTTGGGGCGGATATGCCATGTGCTGAGGCGGATATGCCATGTGTTGGGGCGGATATGCTATGTATTGGGGCAGCTATGCCATATGTCGGGGCGAATGTCCAACGTTCTATTATGATAAGACTGTTATCTCTCCCATATTCATCACGGTTATCGCTCAGGCCGATACTCGATTATTGATAGCACCTGGAGAAGGTTAGAGAGCTGTGCCCATAAGGGGTAGTGGTGAACTGCGCCGTGCAGAGGAGGCTGACGATAAACTCACGGAGTGTTTTCTTCCGAGGGTTAAGTCCCGAAGGTGATATTTCTTCTCTGTGCGATCGAACGCAATGCAGTCTGGCTGGTTGTGGGGGAGACGGCCACGGGGATGACGATATGGGGTCGTTTCGTATGCGTGGTGGGGATGGGAGCGCCTGAGATAATGCTTCATATTCTCAATACCTCTTTAGGGGGTGGATATCCAAGGAGTCTCCAGGTGACCTAGTCTAGTAACATTAAAGTTTAGTTGGAGTCGTCAGATATCGAATGTCAAAACATCTGATATACGTCAGATAAGTCAATACACACCTCATCCGTGGATAAGGTTGTTGACACCCGAGGGGAAAGCGTAAGTAATCCAAAAAGTCTCAGCATATTCATTCTTCTCCTCCAACATTCAGTTTGTTTTTGAAACCGTCAATTCCATCACGACGCACGAAGTTGGAGATATGAATCCGGAACGGGAAGGTAATATGTGCGTTAAGAACATACAAATTCGTCCGAGGCCCATAAGTTGTCCGAAATTCAAGTACATTTAAATTTAACTCGTAGCTTCGACTTTCTCATGCTCGCGGTACAACTATACTAGTATTGTCATGTCAAGACTTGTGTTTAGTGCTGCACAGATTGTCACTCCGAACAACGGAAAAATGATCGAGACTTCTCATATAAATGCCATGTTGCATGAATCGTGTGTCTACAGCCACTTACATGACTCAACAATACGATGTAGTCAACTACCGGCAAGCATGCCTTCGTGGTTTATTGCATAACCCGAGAAATCGATATCCTGTTCGCAAAGGCGAGCCATGAGGGGAACTGTACTCCAAAGCGGAACTGTGCACGTGAGCCCTTTAGAGAGGGGCAGGCGCTCTCTGAATGATGGATCATATCTTCTACGGGGATGGTGGATCACGATTCGTGATAGTTCCATCGCATGTCTACACGGGCTCCTGACGAGTCACGTAGTTAAAATGGTCCAACTGGGGCACTCTTACGTCGGCATCATCTGTATCCGATTCAACATGTGTGTCTGCACAAAGCCGCTGTCCCAATATCCGCGTGAATTTTGCGTTGTCCACGGAGCCCTCTAGTCGTCCTTCTCCAGATGGTCTAGGACATCAATTTCACTCTTCCGAATCGGAAGTTCCGATTCAACCACACTTGAGTCACACGTCCCAAATTCACAACATAATATGACCAATGATTCTCTTCCCGTCGAACCATGGAAAGCTGCTTCCTCTGATTAGTTATCTCGCGCAAATCCCTCGGAGTTCGCTTTGTAGTGTCCGATATGGTAGTTCCTGGTCTTACTGTTCTTCTCAATGTTGACGTCCTCGAAAACATCTCTGTCGGCAGCTACTCCCAAGCAGTCCAGAGGAATGATAATCCGTGGTCCTAACGAAATGGCTATGGAGGATATCCCGATGCCCGGTGCACCGCAGCAAGGAGAATGTCTCATCCGAGTCAGGGAGGTCGGCATTTGCGGCTCTGATGTCCACTTCTTCAAGAACGGCGCTGTTGGCGGCTTTGTAGGTCTAGCTATCTGCAAGGGTCCTTCGTCAGTGTCAGCCTGTTAGGTTGTGAAGTCTCCGACAGTTATTGGCCACGAAGGTGCGGGAGTGGTTGAACAGGTCGGGGAGGGTGTAACTGACTTGAAAGTGAGGTTGCCTCTTACTCGATCTTATCCTCTCTATCACTCATCTCAGGTCGGTGACAGGGTAGCTCTGGAGCCGGCAGTTCCTTGCGGTCACTGTGAATTGTGCAAATCTGGAGAGTACAACCTGTGCCCTGAGATAAAGTGAGGTTTTCACTATGTTTATCATCGGAATTGACTCGCCCCTTATAGGTGTATCGGTGCGCCCCCTAACAATGGATGCCTTACCCGATTCATCCGCCATCCCGCCTCGCTGTGCTTCAAGCTGCCTGATAATGTCTCGCTTGAGGAGGTATGGGGCAGCTATGCCATTCTAATGTCTTGCTGGGATTTGATAGGCGAGCGTATCTGGAACAGTTTCAGTCAGAGGAGTTGTGGGAATCGATTTTGATAGGGGCAGCTATGCCATGTCGGGGATCCAGCAAGGTGTACTGCGTTGGTTGGTTGGAGTTTACCCAGCAGCTGCTTGCTTCGTCGAGTAGACATCAGCTCCGGAGTGGCATAGCTGCCCCAGAGTGAAATTGATATCCGCGATTTGTCTGAATTGAATGCCCTTGGGCAGTGCTACGATGGTCCTAAGCTATGCGTCTGTGTAGCTTATAACCTTGAGGCGTATCTCTAGATGGCATAGCGGCCCCAGAGCGAAATTAGTCTTCACGAATCGTCTGAATAACGTCATGCCCCTTAAGAGTCGAGTACATTGGGGCGACATCTCGAGTTGGCATAGCTGCCCCAATCTTACCAAGGTGCAGTTGTGCTCTCCCCTCAGGGTGTTATGGTGGAGCCCCTAGCTGTAGCGACTTATGCCTGTAAGGATAGAGCTGAGGTGAAGAAGGGGGATAAGGTCCTCGTCTTTGGTGATGGCCCTATTGGTAGCGATCATGGGTAGTCTTTCAGTGTCCTAGTATCGGTTCATGGGCTAGGTACGATGGCGGCGATGGTATCCTCTGCATTGGGTGCTAGTCGGGTTCTGGTGTGCGGTCATCATACTGATAAACTGCAAGAGATTGTGGAAGCCTGTCCTCGAGCAGAGATACTAAACGTGAAGAGAAGTGGTGACTACAACCAAGTAGCTGAGGAGATTAGGTACTTTTGGCCACCGAGGCAGCACAGTCTACCTCTTGTTTTTAGGGGTGTTCTAGGAGGCCCAGCCAACTGTTCTATCGATACCACAGGGGCTCAGGATGCGGTTTCCTCGTGCATCAGAGCTACCCAATCTGGTGAGCAGCTTCATTCACTACCATCAATGTGATGTTGTATGTTCTTAGGAGGCCGTGTGGCTATGGTCGGTATCGGAGCAATGGAGATGAAACTTCCTATTGTTGATGCTCTCATACGTCAAGTTGATATCAGAGGCACGTTCAGGTAACGGAAAAATTGTGTACTCTCGCTGCAGGACAGAGGGTCTGACTTCTCTTCATCTCTTAGATTCTGCTATACCTATCCTACGTGTATTGATATGATCAGCAGTGGTAAGATAGATGTCAAGCAGCTCATTACGCACAGGTAGTAGAGACAGCAGTAGCGTCGTAGGGACAGGTTATCAGATACCGTTTCAACAACGATGAAATACTCCAGGCATTCGAAGATTGCAGAGCTGGTGTTGGTCGAGATGGCCGTCCGGTCAACAAATGCATGATTAACATCGATTGACTTCGTCTTTTCTCTAGCTAGATTCCCTCATACACCAATTTAGTAGTTGTACTTGTTCGAAAGGTTGTTCTCTGATGTTAAGCTATATCTCAGTCACAACGGACTTCTCACAACTACTATTCAGTGTTCTAGTTTTGACCACAAATAGGGAAAGATTCGTCCAAGGATGTCTACTCATTGAGATAGTAAATTTTTTGCGGCAAGTAACCTCGGTGAGTACAATTTCTGTCTTGACGCTAGCCAATTGTAGTAGTATCACTAATTCCAGGGAGGATGAGTTCCGGCTTGTCACCGTCCTAAATCGAGTTTCCTGAGATATCTCCTAGGGTGAGGATAGCATAAGCAACGGTTTGTTAGCCATTGAGGCTAGGGTCGAAGGGATCTGCATGATGCTACCGTTTTGAGGCCAGGCTTGTGTGTTATGAATGCATGTGCATGCGCGTCGTGAGGGTTACAGTAATCCAATAAGTTGTCGGCATCCCTCTCCAATTAGTCTCGAAATGATGGTGAATCAATTGGGGTATCTGTCCATTCGTAGCATTGCTGCTCGATACGATATGCATTTTTGCACAAAGCTGCTGTCCCAATACGCACATATCGCAGTCAGTGTCATTGAGGTGTCATGCTTCATCTCAGGCCCTTCTCTTACTGGTATAATGTGTTGGAGAACTCAAATCGGCGTTTTTGGAGCTAGGTTGTTTGACTACTACACGGTAGTTACTTTCCTCAATTAATCTTGATAATGCTGACTTCCTCACGAACATTCTTCTCGGTTACTTCCCTCAGTCTTTCTAAGATGACTTGTTTGGGTTCGGTGAGTGGACGGAGGCGCACTGTGAGTGACACACTGTAAATGTTCAAGGTATCTTCCAGGAGGTGTATATCCAGCTCCGCAAGAAGATTCCCAAGTTGGAGACTGCGAACGCCACTAATTTACACGCACAGGACGTTCTCTACTGTTACCGAGGCGAATGAGGGTATGATAATCCGCGGCCGAGGGGATATGTCTATGGAGCCTATCCCGATGCCGGGCGCACCGCAGCCAGGGGAGTGTCTCATCCGAGTCAAGAACGTCGGCATTTGTGGCTCTGATGTCCATTTCTTTGCTAACGGCTCGGTCGGGAGCTACGTAAGTCGGATATGGAGGGTTTCCAATGAGATTGAAGTTGCTAGGCCGTGACGTCCCCGATGGTGATTGGTCATGAAGGCGCCGGAGTGGTTGAGCAGGTCGGGGAGGGTGTAACGGATCTCAAGGTGAGGTTGGCATCTTCTTTCCGATCGATCACAACTTTGGCCCGTCTAAGGTGGGCGATAGGGTAGCCCTGGAGCCGGCAGTGCCCTGTGGCCATTGCGAGCTCTGCAGATCTGGGGAGTACAATCTGTGTCCTGAGATTAAGTAGGAACTTGTTCTTTCTTTGCTCGTGTGAGTCCAAACTGTTTCTGCCTTAGGTGTTTCGGCACACCACCCAACAACGGATGCTTGACGCGATACGTCCGCCATCCTGCATCCTTCTGCTTCAAGCTACCTGAAAATGTGTCGCTCGAAGAGGTATGATAGATGTCACCATTTATAGTCTGGATCGCTACTGTGTATTCCTCAGGGTGTCATGTGTGAGCCACTAGCCGTAGCGACTTACGCCTGTAAAGATAGAGCCGAGGTCAAGGATGGTGATAAAGTTCTCGTCTTTGGTGATGGCCCTATTGGTAATGAGCCTCTTCCACTGTCTTTCCGTTCGTTGTCACCGAGTCATCCAGGTACGATGGCGGCTATGGTATCATCCGCCTTGAAGGCTGGTAGAGTTCTAGTGTGCGGCCATCACGATGATAAACTGCAGGAGATAGTGGAAGCTTGTCCTCAGGCAGAAGTACTCAACGTTAAGGGGAGTGGCGACTACAATCAAGTCGCTGAGAAGATTAGGTGCTCTCTCTTCTTTCCTTCCGTGCAGTCATGCTTCTGTTCTTAGGGATGCTCTAGGAGGTCCGGCCGACTGCTCTGTTGACACTACAGGTGCCCAGGATGCTGTATCCTCCTGCATCAGAGCGACTCAGTCTGGTAGGCGACATCATCACTATCGAACGATCATGCTGCTTCTTGTTAGGCGGTCGCGTGGCTATGGTCGGCATCGGGGCAGTTGAGATGAAGCTTCCCGTTGTTGATGCTCTCCTACGTCAAGTTGATATCAGAGGCACTTTCAGGTACCGGCCATGTAGAGTGGTCTCGTTGTTTTTGTTGGGCGAATCCTTGTTAGATTCTGTAATACCTATCCTACGTGTATTGATATGATCAGCAGTGGTAAGGTAGATGTTAAGCAGCTCATTACACATAGGTAGTAGAGTCAGCAGTAGCGTCAAGGGGAGATGTTATCAGATACCATTTCAATAACGCTGAGATACTCCAGGCATTCGAGGACTGCAGGGCTGGCGTTGGTCGTGATGGCCGTCCCACGAGCAAGTGTATGATTAACATAAATTGATTCATTCTTCCTGTTGTGAGATGTTCCTAAAAACCAATTCAGTTCGTTCTCGTAAATCCTGTCTCAGTTGTGACTAGAGAGGCATTGTGTGGGGTTCTCTTCTTTCTGTTAATGGGAGGGTTATTTGGAATCAGAACGAGGATGTTCGGTAAACCGAGTCTTCTGCTCGCTAGCATGGTGCATTTTGGTAAGCTGAAACCTAATTTGTCCCATTTCTCGCTTGTAGGGAATGCTAGTCCTCTGGCATACCGGCCCTATCTATCAAATAGATGTATTCCCAATGATATAGTGCTCTGGCATACCGGCCCTATCCATCAAATAGATCTATTCCCGATGATATAGTGCTCTGGCATACCGGCCCTATCTATCAAATAGATCTATTCCCGATGATATAGTGCTCTGGCATACCGGCCCTATCTATCAAATACATCTATTCCCAATGATATAGTGCTCTGGCATATTGGCCCTATCTATCAAATAGATCTATTCCGTGCTCTGGCATACCGGCCCTATCTATCAAATAGATCGATTCCCAATGATATAGTGCTCTGGCATACCGGCCCTATCTATCAAATAGATCGATTCCCAATGATATAGTGCTCTGGCATACCGGCCCTATCTATCAAATAGATCTATTCCAAATGGTGTAGTGCTCTGGCATACCGGCCTTATCTATCAAATAGATCTATTCCAAATGGTGTAGTGCTCTGGCATATTGGCCCTATCTATCAAATAGGTCGGCAGGATCGAACCTGGGTTGTTCTAGATTAAAAGCTCTATGCTCTACCACCATGCCAAGTTAACTCATGAATATCTTGAATACCCAAGTTCGCATAACTGACGAATGGTGCGATGGTTTCAATCGCAATATAATAGAATGCTGGGCCATCGGCATCCGCGCTAGAGCTATGGTGGAGAAAAGACCTCTTGTCACCTGTCCTTGGCATCGTCCTTCAGTTGAAGCACTCGTGGTTGTGCACAACTCCTCGGGACTTTCACAAGAATTCTTCTAGGTTGCTTGCTTTTCTCGACTGTCGTGAATGATTATTAGTTTTCGTTCTCAATGTCCCTGTTGATACGCGCGTCGCAGATCACTCCTCTAGCCACGAAGATAGCGGCCTCCTCCTATCGTCTTCCGGTGGCTTGGGTGATACTCTGTCGTTTGCACGACGTCGTCAATTTGACCATACCCTCATGTCAGACGCAACGTGCGAACTCAGCTGCTACTTTCGCTACGACTGTGCAGAAGAGAGGAGTGCCCTTGCTATTCACACCAGGGCCGCTGACCACCACTGCGAGGGTTAAAGAGGCGATGTTGGTCGACTTGGGCAGTAGAGATACAAGGTGAGGTCGACTCCTCGGAAAAGGAAGTTGATAGCAGCTTCATTAGGTTCATGAATGTCCTTGCCAATATTCGGAGCGGTTTATTAGCTCTAGGAGGCGTATCACAGGAGGAGGGCTATGAAGTACAATAGTCAATCCAAATCGTTAGATGGCTCTCCCTTTTCAGTGCGTTATAGTGCAAGGAGCTGGCTCACACGGTATAGAGGCTGTCTTGGGCACCAGTGTACCGAGGAAAGGGGGCAAGTTGCTCATTCTCTCGAATGGAGCGTACGTACTCTCGAAGGCGGCACGTTGAAGATCAGCTCAGATACGGCATGAGGCAGGCCCAGATATGTGAGTACCTCGGAATCGAGTATAACCTGATAGATGTACGTATGATGTTAGTCAATCTGAATAGAGCCGAGTCGTTCAGTTCACCGATCGGAAGCCTGTTGACGTTACTGCACTAGAGCAAGCTCTTGCCGAGGACTCCTCCTTCACGCATGTTGGTATGGTTCATCATGAAACCACCGCTGGTAAGCTAGAGTGATAGTCGTGTCACCATGATCGGACTTCACATGCGAATTTACTAGTGTTTCTCCTCCCTTTTTCAGGTGTAATTAATGACGTCAAGAGTGTCGGGCAGTTTTTGGCTAGCGAGTATCCCAAGGTTGAGCTCGTCGTTGACGCTATGTCAAGCATGGGCGCCTACGAGCTTCCCTTGAAGGACTGGAATGTCAGGTAGCCCTACCTGTCTTCGTAGCAGCAGTTCTTCACCAAGCTGTTCACAACAGTTACGCTGTCTCCAGTGCCAACAAGTGTATCGAGGGAGTTCCGGGCTTCTGCTTCGCCTTGTGTAAGCGTTCGAGTCTGCTCGCGGCTGAGGGCAATGCAAGGAGCTTTTGTATGGACCTCTACGCTCAGTGGAAGGGTCTTGAAACGACAGGTTATACCGGATCACGTCAGTCAGGGAGTAGAGTATATTTCTGGTAGGCCAATTTCGATTCACTCCGCCAACCCACGTTATTTTGGCTTTCAACGAGGCCTTGAAGGAGTGGGAAGAGGAGGGAGGCGTAGAAGGGAGGTTTGGACGATATAAGCAGAACTATGATGTACCTCTGGGAGGTCCTTTGTGGTGGTCGATCATAGTGTTTGCAGATTATATGTGCCGGTATGGAGGAAATGGGTTTTCAATACTACGTTGAGTCGCAATGGAGGGGAGTTATCATCACAACCTTCATGCAACCAGCTCACGTGCCAGGTTGGGACTTTGATAGGTTCTACAGATTCCTCGGTAGTAACATCCGGCAGTCGGTGTCCTCTCGATGTGTTGTGACGTAGGTGATAGAGGTTTGGTTATATACCCGGGCAAGCTGGCTAGCGGTCTGTCGTTCAGACTCGGGACCATTGGGAGGATATCTCCGGACGACTGTCGTGATTTGATCGGTGGGATGCCCTCGTGTTGCTCACGGACTATTTCCGTTTTCAGACGCAATAAGAGACGCCCTGAGGGATATGGACATCTCTACCCCTATCCCACCGCCGTTGACCTCCTCTTCGTGAAGTACGTTGGTATTACTCAATAGGCTGTGTTACATTGGGATCTCATTATTTATCACTCACCGTTGTGTTTTGTAAGCTTCTATTTAACTCTATGTTGAGTTCAATGAGTTGTTAATATTCTGGTGACCATGGTTTCGATAGATTCCTGGCAGTTTTCACAATGTTTATTTTTGGAGGAATAACAGGTCTCGCCCTAGTCACCACAGTAGCGTCTTTCTCGATCGTTGAGGATGATGACTATTGCTTTCACCGTCCCTTGGGGGTCTACCCAAGAGTCAACAGTACGCTCAGGTTGACCTCCGTCCAGGTGTATGTTCGCCACGCTCAACGGGATGAGTACACACTGCATGATTGCTTCCCTGATGGGCTTCAAGTTGACTACTCCAAAGACTGTGATAATGTTCATGTCGATTATGCGATTGACGAGGAGATCGCTACTGCTGGTTTTAAATTCCGGAAAGTGTTCGTAGACCACCAAGGAAAGGAGACCTGCGAGACTGGGCAGCTCCTCAACGGGGCGAATGCGCAGATGGTCAAAGTCGCTGATTGGCTGCGAAATGCATATGTCGCGGAGTCCTCGCTGAATGCCACGAATCTTGAACTCATCTGCACTGATAAGAGCCGCACGCTCGGGTCACTGTGAGTATGGTATTGTTGTGGCGATGAATTCGACTGTTGTTGTTGTTGATCATCATCAGCTATTACCTATTGGGGGCTTTCATTCGACCCCAAGATGACCTGCCGAGTACGTTGGACGTGATGGTACAGGACCACGAGGTGGATGCCCTTGGTCTCAACTACCGCAACTGTCCACGTGTAAAGGCACTACAGCAGAGGTAAGTCCTGTTGGAGAGGAAGGGGGAAGTGTAGACACTCAGGTTTAACAATGGGAGATTCGTCCGCATGCAATCACAGTCGGAGTCATACCACTCCTGCGTCAACTTATACGAGAAACTTGTCGGTAGAAATGACATGTGCATCGTGGCTCAGCTAGTGGTGTACCCTCAGGCCCGGTCAGGTTTGACCTGTCCGCGGCCAACGACTGCTTTCTAAGTCAGTTTTGCTCCAACTCGAGTTTTCCTCCTGGGGTTACCGTCACTCCAACACTCTTCGAATGTGTTACTAATCTCCGAGCGGAGCGACGCTTTGTCGAGTACGGCTTTGAGGGATTTTCCGAGGCGGATGAAGATCCCTTTTGGACTACCCGGGATGCTGTTGAAAAGTGCAGTCTTCGAGTTGCCCCTGTGACGAGTGGTGACACTGTGTCACCAACGTGAGACTCCACTCAGGTCGTCCGAGGTCTTCTTGAACGAGCTCGATCGGGCACCGGGAAACTGTATGTCATTGGTACTCATGATACGACAGTAGCTTGCCTATTGCAGTCCCTAGGAGGGGTAAGGCTTCAAGCCCCCCTGTCTAGAGTCCGATGTATTGCAGTTATGGGATGGTCATTGGCCTCATTATGGCGAGACTGTCTCTGTGGAGGTCTACGAGTCCCCAGAGGGGCACCGCTTTTTCCGTCTGCTCCGGAATCACGTCATCATCGACTTCCCCGGGTATCGCCTCCTTCCCTCGTTTGATTTCATCCGCCCATGATAGGTGCCCACCAACGTCCCTCTGCCCTTTGTCCGTCTTGGAAGGCTTCGTCGCTTCCCAGCCGATTCTGGCCAGTGAGGAGTATCGTCAACAGCGCTGTGGTGACCCTGCGACTTCAGTGGAGAGTGGTATGAGCTCGCAGCCAAGCCCCTCACAGTGGGTGCTTCCTATTCGTGATCGCCGTGCATGCCTCTAGTCAGGACATCAGTTTTTTGGCTGTGGACTGTATTAACCTTCGGTCTTGGCTGCCTGCTGGGCAACCGAGTACCGAGCCTTCTCAAGCAGAGAAGAGGGGATGCAGTAGCTCTCGATGGGAGCTACACCAGACTCTAACATGGTTTCCGAGTGTAGCCATTGGTGTGGTATTGTTAATTGGCATCCTTCCATAGGGGCGTCTCCCTTTGATTGCTGTGTAGTGTTTTTCCTAGCAGTACGTCATCAGCAGCAAGACGAGGAGTTTTCCCTACTACTGCATCGTGGGAGCTTCGGCCGAATTTGTCCGTCCCTAGAACATACGAACTCTTATCGAGACGATGAAATGTCTTGAAGTTGCTCTCACATCCATGTTGGCGGCGAATTAGAGTAAGTAAGGAGTCTCTTTGGGGGGAGGGTATACTTCTGATGTGTAGAGGGTGTGGTATCAACACCTCCTCTCGACCTCAGCGCCTGATCTATTGTCGGATTCGCGTCTAGGATTTGCAGGATGCCCCGTTGCTAAGAAACCTACCAGGTTTGCGGCGATTGGGTATTAGGAATGGATTAATGCCGATTTTAGACTTCCCACGAGGTCGTGGAAGTGATTGTATCGCAGACGATGTTAGATTCACTTTGTTTGTAGAAGAGGAATTGTTGAAAGCCTAACTGAATCGATACCGCCCCTATAGTGAATAAACGCGAATCATCAAGCTTTCATTGAATCATTCTTGGTTTTGAGTTCGCAAGTCCAAGGCTTTTCCTCCTAGGGACACTTCATGTACGTGTGACTGGCTAAGCTCTGAAGGCTATATCCATCCTGAAATTTCATATTGTCTATAGCGTGAATTACGGGCATTGAAGGATTTGCTTTTGAGTATAACCTTCAGGTATATGCTAAATGACCAACTTCTTCATTAACATTGAAGTTGTATCGAAAGACAGGTGGTACCACTTCGGTAGAGCGATAGAGATACCGTTTAATTCCGATGTTTGTCTTTCTACCGAGCGACAAGCATTGACTCGGTGAGTTCCATCACTGAGTATGCCGATTCGGCTAGACTTTAACATCAAGATGAATCCCCTATCTTCAACGTGGAACCCACAGGAGGGAACAACGGGCGACGATGGGGAACAGCTCATCTCGCGTCGACATACGGGCGTATCTTCCAATGACAGTATCAAAGGGTACGACGGGATACTGAACGCTTCAACAATCAACAGAGGGAATATTGTTATGCGAACTGAGGAGTTGAATCTCGCTCGCGCAGCTGTGATCGATTTCACGCTGTGCACGCGTGTACATAGATTCAAGACGGAGCGAAGCAGTTCACTTTGTGAAGTTCACGATCACGTGTGGAGGGAATAGGCCTCAAGATTTGGATTTATCGAACTCAGCTGCAATTTTGCTAGGCCCACATCGCACTCCTTTCACTCGTTAAATGTAATATGTGTATCGAATTCGCGGTGACCTAATACTCTCAGCACACACACGCATACAGTATGCACTTGAGGAGGACATGCGAGAAGCCCGAAAGGCTATTGTTCATATAGTCCACAGAAAGCACGACTGTTCACAGCTCCCTGAGTGTTGGCAAGTAGACAAAACTGTGCCTTCGCAATTCTATATGACTCTAGCACAAGATTAACCGAGTCACAGACCCCTTCCCAATAAGTTCACCCCCTCCCCATAACTCGTGAACTCAAGACACTAAAGATGGTACTACGGAGTTGACGCTCTAAACCATAAGCATCTCATCGATCTTCATACTACACTGGTAGTCGTCACTCTTCTACCACTTCTCTAAGCGTTAACTAATGGGAAACGAAATGACTAAAATACAAGTAAGAAATTCCTCTTACTGTAACTCGTAACGTCAATCTGGGCCGGTAGCTCTCCTACAGTGACCTCAAACCTCGCTTGCACTTGGTTGAGCATATCGGTATCCTCCTCAGAGCTCACGAAAGTGATCGCGAGGCCCTTAGTTCCGAAACGACCAGCTCGGCCAACACGATGCAAGTACTGGTCCGAACTATCAGGGATGTCATAGTTGATAACCTGGTCACGGCGGCAAGTAGTCCTCGAATACACCGGAGTTATCTCACAATGTTCACTCGTTCAATATCAATTCCACGACCAAAGAGATCTGTAGCGACCATGATACGCTTCTTGAAGTCCTTGAACTGCTTGTAGCGATCAATGCGATCGGACTGCTTCAGTCTGGAGTGTATGGCTATAGCTGGAAAGTTGCACTCAGTGAGAAGGTCAGCCAATGCGATCGCTCTGATGACCGACAGTCACATAGCCCAAGGTAAACTCAGTGGACTCACCTTTGCACGGACTTCACGAAAATAACAACTTGATTGAACTCCAAGGCATCCAACAAGTCCGTCAACTTCTTGTTCTTCTCGTTCTCTGATGATAACGACCATTCCACCAGACCGCCAGTCGAGACCGCGTACCAGCGAGGCGCACGAAGTACTGTTGAAGACCGTGAAGGGTTAGCTTGGTATCATCATCGACAAAGATCTCATGGGGTTCGTTCATAAAACGCTTGCAAACCTCGCGCATCTCCTTACTCATAGTCGCACTGAACATCATAACCTGAACAACAGCAATAAGTAATCCAACCCCAGGTTGCCACTGACCTGCTTCTTAACAGGAGTCTCGATGAAGACGGATTGAATGTCCTTCCTCATGTCCAACTTATCCAAGCACTTATCACACTCATCGAGTACGAAGTGCTCCACGTGGCTGAGGTCGAGGTGCTTACCGCGGACCAGGGCGAGGACTCGACCGGGCGTGCCGATTAGAATTTGGGGATGGGACTTCGATAGCATCTCCTTATCCTCAGAGATCGGTACGCCGCCGTAAACAACACCGTTCTTCACATTAGGAAAGTACTTGGAGAACCTGAAAGTCCATACCACACCAGAGTGAACTTCGCATGAATCCCACGACGTACCGGTCGAACTCGTTCTTGATCTGATAAGCCAACTCCCTTGTATGGCACATGATGAGCACCTTCACGTCAGAGTCCTTCTCATCGACGTTCAGTTGCTGTAAAATGGCCAAGACGAAGACCGCCGTCTTACCCATACCGGACTTGGCCTGGCAAAGAATATCTGTACCCAAGATGGCTTGGGGTATGGCCTCATGCTGGACCTGAGGGAAAGGTGATGAACCCCAGCAGTGGAGCGAAATAGGCTCACTTCGGAAGGATGCTCGAAACCACAGTCAACGATGGCACGCAACAACTCGGGCTTGAGGAGGAAATCTCTAAAGCCTGAACAAGGAATAACTCGAACGCCACAAACGAGGGCGAGCTCACCTGTTGCGTGGATTCCCACGTAATTTCCCTTCTTCTGACCATCAGCGGCGATCTCGCCACCGACGGTCTTACCGTTCATGGCTGAAGTATCCTCAACCTGAGCGAAGGGGCTCCTTAGAGAACATAACTAACAGAACTGTTGGTTACCTCCTCATCGCCTTCGTCGTAGTCCAAGAGTTGATCTTCTTCAAGGGCACTCATGGTGAAGTGATTGACGAAAGCGAACGGATCAACAACTTCACTGTTATCGGGCAGGTTATAATATCACAGACGTTCCCAATAGTGATACCCTTGTACACGATAAGGAGACGAGCAATGGTTGACCCAACGATAAACCATCCACCAGAGGCCATCACCCAGGGCATACAGTAACGCGTCACAGTAGCCAGAGTATTCTAATAAAACGATTATATTTCAGGGCACATCTTCTCGCTTGCCGTTGACGTCAACGTCGACCTCAAGGATCTATCTAACCCATAATGGCGGAGAATCTTCATTCTTGCTTCCACCTCTTCGAAGAGACGCTTTTAACAGTAATTTCAACAGAACGCAAGCGATCGAACACAGCGAGAACGCCTGGGCGTGCGCTACTTTTTAAGGCTAGCGAGATTCCAACAGCGCATTTTCGCACCGTGAATACTCGATTTTCGGACCCGCTTCCGCAGGGTCAAGGACGTGGCCAATCTCGCCCTAATCTCGCCACAAGGGCAAGTGGTGGGGGGTCGATCTCTAACTTCCCACGATCATGAACGCGCCCCTTGATTCTGTAGACGACGGGAAGGCCTCTGGCTGCCTTGTATTCACTGACATGGCAACAGCATATCTACGACGCTATGCTGTGAGGGGCCCGCTTACCAGTGCGGCGATAGTTGCAGCGATCGGTCGCTGATATCAAGGATGGCGGCGTCGTACTGCTTGTGTCGTGGCTTAGTCTACCTTGAGCTTGGCCACGGCTCCCGTATACAGTCCGCCTCTGTGTATGTGGGAGCGTGGACACAGAGAAATCACTCAGGGTGTCAAAGCGTATATCAGCGTCACTACCGGTATCTTCGAAGACAGACATCGGTGGGAATTGGTGAGTGCTATCTGCGATAATCTGAATGACTGTCCGTATGATGAAGACTCTTGGATATCTGGGATATCAATGATATCATATCATATCCCCAACTTGGTGACCCCGAGGATGATTATGTTCCACTATTTAGACCCCGCATCGTTCAATGGCAAGCGCAACTCATGCTCAACAGCGAACAACTTCTCTAAACTCACTCTCACGGTGAATACAGACCTCGTGGCATAGGTCCGAGAAAAGGTGGAAGGAATTACCAGCTCAGGGTTATCAGCTACTTGGCTCACTGGCAGATCTTCCGCGAATGCTCCCATGCCCGCACTCTCAAGCGCTTGGCCCTCATACCCGAGAAGTCCAACGGTGGGACGAGAGCAGACTTCGAAGACCTCGAGGCCTCGGAATTGAAGAACTATTCCTGAGTTGTAGGGAAATATCAGCGGAACCAGATGAACTCGAAGGTGTCTATAAGCGAGACCAATGTGGTCCCAGGGTATAAGAACCAATTAGCTTCAACCTAATGACTATGCTCAAGTCCATTTCGGATTTGTTGAAAACGAGGGAAGGTATGTCCTCTTAGAGAGTGATGTAGGAACGGTCTAGCGGAGATGCCAATCCGGGTGGAAGAGCAGCGATTCGTCGATGCGCAGATTGAACAACCTAAGTCATCCATGGGAGACTTCCAAATTGAAAGTTCCGGCGTTCCGAACGCCAATTTCGACAGTGCGCTCCGTTGCCACTTAAACCACGTTCGACATTTGCACTTGCGGCAAGTGACTCGCCCGCTATGTAGGCGAGAGCACACTTGTTGGAGCTCCACCGCAGTGGATGTTCACAACTTGCCTCGTTCCCTTGATCGTGATAGTCTCCATGTCAACAAATCTAATAGACTGCTAGGGCGAGTGTAGACAGTGTCTACTAGACACGCTAGCTCACAGGAAGAGTTAGCCCATGTCATATATACGGTTTTATGACGATCAGGGTCAACTTGACCCAGTCAACTTGACTGAGTCAAGTAGTTGCCTAGTGTAGTTCCATGAGCAACTATCGAACTTTGCGAGTGGATCCGATCCTGGCCACACTCCCATATCCTCCTTGGCTCCTGCTCACAACGTCCGTCCAAATCTCGAAACCAACTAGGAAGGCCAAGCTAGGCAAGCGCTGAACAATGTCGTAATGCTGCAGTAAAGATAATTGAGACCTTCAAGACATGATGCCTCCGCAGCATGAGAATGGATTCATCAATTTCCACTACATCATTCTCGTCGAGTAGCAGTCGACCAACTCCAGTCGATGCCTCCAGCTGTGATGCAACCCTGTAACTCCTAGGCTGGGAGACAATGGCTTGTTCTCCAACTTGCAGTCGCCCTCTGAAAACGCCGAGTAAATAATTGCAGATAATTGTAACAATTGTCATGAATGCTGAAGGGCCCTTCAGGAGGGCTACAGTTTCTAGCTCGTCAAACGCCACCTCTGGAGTATCTTGAGACCGCGAGGCATAGGACGGGCTTTATCTTGCCCCTTTCAAGCCTGCTGCGTTCAAGTATGAATACAACGAAAGGCGACTGCCATATAGCCGTCGGTGACGTAGTGTCCCCTACCCTATGTCACAATCGAGTAAGCACATTATAACTAAGTACACAACTATTCTACTGGCGAGCGAGGACGTTGCAAACAGACCAACAGAGGGACGAGATTGAGACGAGCGAGTAAATTTTATACGTGAAATTACTACCAGCAGGAATTCTCACATTCAAGTCCAAACAAGCTGAAATCCGATCTGAATGGTGTTTGTAAGGATTGCACGACTCTCCGAAGAGATTGAATCTCTGTGCAATTATTTATCGAAGTTCGGTCACGACGATTATACAACCGTGAAAATACTAACAATTATGTGAGAAATTCCGGAACTGTGAATATATTTCTCATACTACATCGTCGTCGAATCATCTTGTTTTTTCGAGAAGCTGAAGCTTTATCTTCATTCACCCCGGGGCCACTCAAGTCGCCTCGAATATTCTTCTGGTCCAATTCGTTCACACTCAGGTCATTTCCACTAGACTCCTATATTACCTTTCTATAATCGTCGAGTCACTGAAATTTTCCGAACTCGACAAGAGGTTGATTTAATTGACAGTTGTTCCCTCCTTGAAATAGGTCGGCGTTATGTCTGCCAGTCGGAAATTACAGGCGACCATTGACGTGACTTTGAAAAAAGTCGACGAGGGTATTGACGAATTTCAACAGGTGTGGCGAAAAGTTGAGGAAAGTCAAAACCAAAACCAACGGGTAAGTTGGATTGACTTGGAGTCGGCAGATCCTTGTTTTTGTTGTAGGAGAAAAATCAAATTGATTTGAAAAAGGAGATAAAAAAATTACAGCGGTTTAGAGAGGACATTATGAAGTGGATTAATGGAACGGTACTAATTTTACCATTTTTTCATCAGAAAGTACTTGTTGTTCAGGAAGTCAAGGACAAAGGAAAGCTGACAGAAAGTCGACGAAAAATAGAGGTTGGTTGGGCTGAGCTCAGTGGTTATTATGAATTTACCCAGGTGGAAATGGAACGCTTCAAGGAGTTTGAAAGAGAGAGTAAAACGAAGCCTTTCAGCTTCATGGGTCTACAAGCTCAGGTAGCACGAGAGGCTCCTCGCAATTTCTCAGAGGATGTGAATATTAGTAAACGCGCTCGTTAAAACCCTTTCGGATCGATCTCATACTCGCCCGAGCTGCACGAAAACTTACTAGGGAAGTGAACTTGTTGGTTGGTTTAGGACAGATTGGACCCAGCAGAACAGAAACGGATGGAAACTAGAAGTCGTTTGGAGGAATATGTGGATCAGTTGAAGCAACAAGTAGGTGTATGCCATGTTTTGCATCCTACCACAATTTGTGTAAATCAGAATGATGAATATACGGCTGAAATTGAAAAGATTGTCGGAGAGGGCGGACGAGAAAAAGGTGGGTTTGAGATATAACGTTGGAGGTAATGGAAAGTACTTTAGGAAAAAAGAAGAAGTCCAAAAGCTCCAAGTTGTCCTCAGCTGACTCCACGCGGGTTGCGGAATTGAGTAATAATATGAGAGGTGGCTTGTTGGCAGGGTGGGAAAATTTGTACATGTGTTGGTGACAATATGGAAATTGTGAGGAAATTTTTGGGAAACTCTCATTGGTTTCTGTGCACTTGTTTGATTAGTGAGGAAACTTCTGAGCTCAGCTGAGGGAAGCGAACATGTATTTCAACACTGCTTGTTAGAAATATGGATCGCTCGTCACCAGTGGCACCAGGCCAAGTTGGAACAGTTGATACGGAAACTAGATAATGAGGAGGATGTTGATTACGATGAGTTGGAAATTACTGAGCAAGCACTAGAGTAAGGTGGGAGTGATACTCTACAATTAGGATGGTTTCTGATACGTTGTCAATGGATTTTTACTGCTGTTATTATTATTGTCATTGTGTCTGTCGAAGGTCGGTCGTAACAAGGTATCTTGGGAAATGTGAGTTGTATAATGGTTTGGTTCTCATTGATAAACTCTGCTATATGAACGCGTTACTTTAAAAAATGTGATTTATGAAGCGGTTTTGTTCGCACTGTAGTTACTACCTAGAGGAGCACGAGAATCCCGACTATTATCATGATGAAGAACTTTACGCGAATCACAATTTGGACGATAACCGTATCAATGCTTATACGAAGCCGATCGATGTGGAGGAGAGTGACAACGTTGATGAGGGGCCGACAGACAGTCAGGAGTCTCAGGAGAGTTCTGATGATGATGGCAAAACTAAAAAGCCGGCCAAGGAAGTAATAGGAGGAGGGTACGGTCCTGATGGTGGTAGAAGTGTAAATAGGTTCCTCTGTCGGCTGGGGCTAAGGCAATGCAGAAGGCTCTAGCGGCTAAGGCGGCTGGGGAGCAACCCCCTTGCAAGGTGAGTATAGGTCTCGAGGGGACGGGCCGGTTACGGTGTGGGAAAATATGCACAAGGCGAGCGACGTATGTTGGTGATGACAATGAGGAAATTTGAGGAAGTTCTTGTTGGTTTATGTGAATTGCAACCCGAGTTTATATGAAAACTACTCTAGTAAATGAGCTCAGTCGAGGAAAGGCGAGCATACTTGGCAATACTTACCAGTTTTGAATGTTGTGAAGTTTTTGTGCATTAGATGCCCCCACGCCCGAGTCTGCCGGCTTTACCGTCAATATCGCCTCCCGCTCCGCCGAGCCCGCCAGGGCTTCCTCAGTATCCTCCACCTCCACTGGGAGATGATGGTAAGTGTTGTTGGTGGCTCACTGGGTGGTTATTGTAGTGTTGTTAGTGACGCCGATTGGCGGTAAGATTGGTGAGAAGGTTGTGAGCCCGACCAATGTAGGGTCATCCGAAGGTTGTGGGTTCGATCCCGGCATGGTATATTTTAGGGTACAACTTCTACATCCTCCTCCCCATCAACAACAGCCCAAGCCGCATCAGCGATCCCACCAGGCCTGAAGCGTAGGCTCAACGCTACTTATCATTGTATCAGCTATAATGCCTTCTAGCCCCTGTTATATCGGACGAACGAAATGAGAATATCGCCACCCCGTCTGCGGACCCCGCTTTGAGCATGCTATTCCGAAGTTACGAGAATAGGCCAATGCCTGATGACTTATGTTGTAGTGAAGGAACTTATGTGAGATAATATAACTCTGTATTATCGGGGTAATGTTGTTGTTGGTGGTGGACAGGTCCCACCTAATCCCATACCGTCTAGTGCAGCGAGGAAAAGTCCATATCCGCAGCGCCCTGTGTCCGACATGGAGTGGATGTAGACGATTATTTGCTTCTTGGTGTTTTTACTTGTGAAATTTTCAGGTTTCAGAAGTTATCTCTTGACACGCTGATGTTTATATTCTATTATCGTCCTGGCACATACGCTCAGTAGTATTGGGGAATCTTAGGTTGCCCTTGGCAAGATTCAAAGCAGGTACCTTGCGGCCCGAGAGCTCAAGCGGATGAGCTGGAGGTTCCATAGCAGATATGGTGGGTTGTCGTTGACTTTACTTTTTTGAAGTTGTTTCCGTAAGGCACGTGGTTCAAACGTCACAGTGAGCCGTCCGTGGTAAACCCCAAATATGAGTATGGCACTTATGTATATTTCGATTGTTATGCTGATGAATGGGCCCAGAAGATCAAGAAGGACTTCCAGTTTGAGTAATACCCTGGCTCGCCCTGCGGTTACGTTAGCCCTTGTGGTATATGAATACTATATGAATACTTGGAATTATCAGTAATTGTATAAGCCGTTCGAGGGTGTGTTGGACCTCGCAGACGGACGAATTGCAGCCGAGGAATTTGTGCTGAACTGTATCGCGACATCGAGCTGCGATGGTAGTTGTATGGTTTCTTTTCGAATTCGTGGTCATGATCGGATTATCCCCGCTTCTCGAGAGTATATGTTTGTGAAGGTGTGTATTTCCTCAGCTACTGTCATCTCGAGGATGAGCTCCCGGTGGCGGCTCGAAGGGAAGAAAATCGTCATTGATATCGTCAGTTTACCAGCGGCAGGGCAATAACGACGAGAGTAGGGGAGGATTCCATTTGTTCATTATTACCATTTCTACATTCCTTTGAGTTGAGTAGTTCTACCAATTGAGTTAATTGAAGTATCCGAAGTTCGATCGGTCGGGCGTGCACTAGTTAACCCTCGTTTAAGCACGAATCCCATGTGAAGTCAACAGATTGACCGAAGATGTGTCGCAAATCGTATAAGGATGATGACTCATCGATATGTGTATCTTTCAGCATAATTCTCAGTCTTTCTTGAATTGACTATACCTGTGACCCTACGACTACGCCTTAGTCGTACAGTTAATTGAATCAACAGTAGAGACCAAACACAGAAGAATTAACTCTGTGTTTGGTCCGGTTTCCCGTAACAACCGTACCCGATGTTAGCCAACTTTACTCGCTCGCTGGTTCACCCTGAACACTCTACCATGCTATTGTTGAATGTCTGTTGGAAAGTCCCCATTAACTTAATGGTGATTGAATGTTAATCGATCCAACACCGCCCAACCACAACACAAACCATTCGTTCGTTTGTTGACCTAGTCCAATAAATTGACCTTCATTGAAGGTCAACTTATTGGACTAGGTCCTTCATTGATACTCCTTGAATAACAAACAACATAAGAGGTTCATAATCATCACCATCAGGAACTACATCGAAACACTCAATGCACCTCGGTCCGTTAATAATATCTGATGACGAGCAACTTAACTGTGATATACAAAGTAAAGGTTTCGGGACCCAGGGATCTGCTTGGTAAGTAATAAAGAAGGCGCGAATAATAGTAATGCGCGAATTTCGCGCACGCCAATGAGCGTTTCATTTTGCGGGCGTGAATGAGTTTCACGTATCCTTGTCTCAACCTCGGGACCGATAAGTTTCCTAGTCACTAGAGAGTGACTAATCGGTTATCGTTTGATATTGATTTACTAAGGCAGAATATGGTCTGAATGAATACAAGAACTGTATGAAAAGAGCTGCTTTTTCTTTCTTCAGTTCTTCATTTGCTTGTGCTCGTTAAGAGCAAGCTTCCTTAACCATATTAGACCGAGAACACCCGGTGACCTGTCACTATTGATGATTGATAATAGAAGTAAACAAGTATTCAATAGGGAAACTGAAATTGAGCGTATCAATGTCAATCAATATAATGGCTCAGGGAAAAACACCATCAATTGCGGGGCACGCACGTACACAGGACTGCACGCACGAACAAGGTAGGACTGGGCTCGTCAATCCGCAATACACCCAGCGTCTGACTCGCGCGCGTAGAATCGCTAGTGCCGACTAGGCAGGCCATATCTAAGAACGGCTCAAGTCAAAGCGAGTGGTTAACAATACACATTCAGTATTTCTTTTCTTCCGATATGACGATCTCTCTTATGTGGGGCATTATTATGTCCGGTTTCCTCGGAGCCAGCGCTCGTCACGATTTACGCGGGCTTGGCTCGCCTTCGTCGACATGCAACTGGTGTAAAGTCTGCCTCGGTGGGTCCTATGCACCAGGCTTGGCTATAGCTTGCACGATCACAGAAGCGTACTGCAATGTTGGCACGGATAAACTTTGCGAAAGATGCTGTTCTTGAATGTAAGATTATCGTTTAGCATTTCTGTCATTCCGTTCTACAGCACAGTGCTGTATGACAGCGGAGTTACTCGGCTATCGATAACTATTGCTAAATCTTTCTTGAAATCTTTCTTGAAATCTTTCTTGAAATCTGCGATGGCATTGGTCCTTTCAATTCTGACATTCTCACCTTAAGTTACTTGTGTTGTGTTATCTAGTAACGGGAGACTCTCCCGGGGAGAGCCATCACATATGTTATCAGCTGAGAACATCGAATAGTGTTCGATGTTGTATTCGACGAATACAACGCATGCTCAAGTTCTACAGATCGGAAACTCAACATGAATACATGGACTTCTTCAGAAATCGAGATTTGCCATTTATTTGCTGTTTGCGTAGGCCCAACGCTACTTACCATCGTATCAGCTATAGTACCCTTCAGCGCCTGTTATCGGGCAGCGACATGAGAATTTCGCCACCCCGTCTGCGGACCCCGCTTCGAGCATGCTATTCCGAAGTTACGAGAATAGGCCAATGCCTGATGACTTATGTTGTAGTAAGGAACTTATGTGAGAT